AGACTGGACACCAGAAGTTCTTTAACGCAGCACAGTAGCAGCAGTTTATTCGACAACTGGCTTTTCACATGCAGTACTTTGGGAAACCTGGGCTCGGCATCCATATAACTCTCAATAGCAGCTAGGCACACGTTCACAGCACAGTCCTCCAGCAGCCAGCAGAGTCACTTCACAAAGCACAACACAAGACTGTCATTTTTTTGGATATTGTTAAATAAAAAATAAATAAAATAAAATAAATATAAGAACAAACAAAGCATCCATACTATGCAAAACAATGGCTCTAGTGCCTCATAACCATGCTTATTAATGTGGCTGCCTCTACTGAGATATATTTTACTAAACTAGCAAAAATAACATACATCATTTCGTAAAAGGAACAAAATACTCTTTGTAGATGAGTCACAATACATTTTACAGGATTTTTAAGCAAAATTTGAACATAGATGGCTTAATAAAGCAATAAGTTTAGCTGGATGCAGAACTTAACATCTTACCTTCACAAAGCACAACACAAGACTGTAACTTCCTGCTTCCTGTGCAGCAAATTAACTAACAGCTTAAAGCAAAAACGCCACCCAGTGGCAGGGAAAAGGAACTGCGGCCTACACCCGCCCCTACTAAGTGTGATGGCGTCCCTGCCATCTAAATAAGTAAATATCCTAAGATGTAACAAATTATCTGTGTTTGTAGTTTATTTTAATGAATGTGAGAATGCCTATATGTGTCATGCATGTGATGCAGTGGTGCTGCTGTTCCTCGTTCTGGCCAGCTGCCATATTTTGCGCCCTCTCTGTATTTTGTCCTCCACTGTTTCGGCTCCAATAACATGCTGTTGATAGGACAGTCTATTTGGCGCCTGTCTCTTCCTTGGAGGATTCCGGCGGGGGGCCTCTGACTCTGTATTAGGCAGGCAATCATTCTGGCTTTGCACCTGGGAAGAGCAATCTTTGGGATCTAAACTGTCTTCCATGCCACCTATTAAGTCTGTATCATGTTCAGAGACATCAGTCCCCTCCTCTCCATGCCTGCAGGTCATCTCTTCACAGTTCACCATAGTGTCCTCATCATTACCACACACTTCTGAGCTTTCAGTGTCACTCAACACCTGCTCCACTTCCTCACTCCCCTGCGTCTGCTCATGCTCAAGGGGAAAGAACATGCACTGGGTCATGAGATTCTGATGAACCACCCTTTCCACAGCACCATCTTCTGACTGAACGACGTAGACAGGTATCCCGGGCTGTTTCTTTATGATCAGGTAAGGTCTTGGCTCCCACCTGTCACCTAGCTTCTGTCTGGTTTCAGTGTGACAGACTTTTATTAGTACCCGATCACCTGGCATGAACTGTCTGACCTTCGCCTTTAAGTCGTAATGCTTCTTTTGGGTTTCCTTGGAACGCCTGGAGAAGAGGCTGGCCTGCTCGCAAGCATATCTGAGACAGTCCTGGAGTGTTTTGGCATACTCCGAGTGTTCACAACGCTCAGCAGTTGAAGCCAGTCCAAACACAAGGTCAACAGGAAGCCGTGGGTGCCTGCCAAACATCAAATAGTAAGGCGTGTAGTCTGTGGAGTCATGGCGAGTACAATTATAGGCATAGGTCAAGGCATCAACATACTCATGCCAGTTTGCTTTGGAATGTGGTGGCAATGTACCCAACATATTCATTAGGGTGCGGTTGAACCTCTCTGTGGTCCCGTTTCCCTGTGGATGCTGACAAGGGGGGCCCGGAGACCTGCCGTAGGCGTCTTTCTGAGACAGCATCTTTCACATTGCTCACACCATGCCTTGATATCACAGAACATCCGAGGCCAGTAAAATCTTTCCCTGACCAGTGCGAAAGTGCGTTCCATACCAAAATGCCCTGAGTCATTGTGAAGTGCTGACTTCACATAGCTGCGGAACTTCTCTGGCAACACTAATTGGTGAAAGCATCCTCTCTGCTTATCCCTTACTTGCCGATACAGAATCTGATCCTTCACCACAAGTCTTTTCCACTCCTTCATGAGTAGCCTCTCATGCTCATCCCCATGGTGCCTCCCAGAGCGCTTAGGCTTGGTGTACTGAGATTTATAATAAAGGACAGGTCCAATTACAGGATCGGCTCTCTGAGCTGCTCTTATCTCCTGCTTTGACATGCTTGGTAGGGCATCACTACCGACACTGTGGAACTGGTCTGCTGCCCCCATTTCCTTATTTGTGCTAGGCTCCCTTGGCAGGACATCCGTGGTTGCTCCAACTTCACTGCCAGCGTTTTCTCGTGACTGTCTCTGGGGTGATATTGCCACTAGCTGTGGACAGGTGTGTAGAACCTCTGCAACATCACTAGCTGGCATACGTGAAAGGGCATCAGCATTGGCATTACACCCTCCTTGCCTGTACTGAATGTCAAAATCAAACGTTGAAAGCTGTGCCACCCAGCGCTGGCCTGTTGCATCTAGCTTAGCTGTGGTCATCACATACTTCAGCGGGTTGTTATCAGTAAGGACTGAAAACTTATGTCCATACAGATGGTCATAGAACTTTTCTGTTACTGCCCATTTCAGGGCCAAAAATTCCAACTTGTGGGCAGGGTATCTTGTTTCAGCAGGATTCAAACCACGGCTAGCGTATGCAATCACCCGTTCACAGCCATTCTGTACTTGGGCCAGCACTGCACCCAACCCCTCCAAGGACGCATCTGTCTGGAGGACAAAAGGCAGACTATAGTCTGCATATCCAAGCACTGGAGCTGTAGTAAGCCTAGCCTTCAAGGCCTGAAAGGCATTCCCACACTCCTCTGTCCAGACGAATGGCATCTCCTTTGCGGGCGGCCCATTTTTGCCCCTTTTTTTTCTTCTAGGATCACCTGAGGTTAGCCGGTACAGTGGTGCTGCAATCGATGCATATCCTTCGATGAACCTGCGGTAATATCCTGCAAAGCCCAGGAACTGCAGTAGCTCCCGCCGACTTTTTGGCGTTTTCCATTCTGCCACCTTACTGATCTTGTCTGGGTCGGTCTTGATGCCCTCGCTGGACACCACATGGCCCAAGTAGCGCACCTCTCTTCTCAACAGGTGGCACTTTTGAGGCTTCAGTTTGAGGCCGTACTTCTTTAGTCTAGCAAAGACCATCTGCAGTCTCTCTAAGTGTTCCTCGAACGTTCTGGAAAAAATGACAATATCATCTAAATAAATAAGCAGGCTTTCAAAATTGAGATCACCAAAGCAGCATGTCATTAGCCTTTGGAATGTTGAAGGGGCATTCTGCAGCCCAAAAGGCATCCTGTTTGCCTCAAAGAGCCCCATAGGCGTGCTGAATGCTGTCTTGTGCTTATCAGCTTCTGCTACTTCCACCTGCCAGTATCCAGAGGTTAGATCAAGTGTAGAAAAGTACTTTGCCTGCCCCAAGGCCTCCAGAGCATCCTCCACCCTAGGAAGAGGAAAGGCATCACGGGTGCTACAGGAA